ATTTTGAATCTAGAATCAGTCAAGAGAGAGACGCAGAAACAGGAAAGACCACAACAGCTGCCAATATGAAGAAAGGTGATCTTGCAATCAGCGCCTCTACGTCGGAAAATGCCAAATCTCTAGACGTTAAGAAGGGAGATTTTGAAACTAGAATCAGTCAAGAATTTTTAGTTTAGAATCAGAGTAGTATTTTCTGTACTCTAGATAAAGTAGTGACGCGTAAAATTTGAAAATTTTATTTGAAAACAATTTTTTTATTTCAAAAACTTATATTACTTGACAGGGGGAAAAATTATATGCTAGAGAGTCAGCGCACTAGTTCCGTGAAATATTATCAAAATGAACTGTAACTGTGATTGTCTATTTACTGACTAATAGAATATATCACTCGGCCAGAGCACAATTCATTAAAGCGGAAGACAATACTCAAGAGACTAGACAACTACACACTTTTTTCATGTGAACGCAATCCGTATATATTTGGAATTTGTATGCCCTTTCAATAAATTCAAAATRCCATGAAGCCTACATTCTTCCAACATTCAAGTTCTAGCCGTCCCGACATCTTTCTTCCGCGTTTAACAAAGAACTATACCTCTTATAACTCTTTATTTYTTTCCTGGTTGGTGGGACTTTTTTAACAAGTTTTTCCWTTTTAGATTCATWTTTATCCGTCTGTGAAATAGGAATTTTATTATTAAATACTATTACCCCCTATTAGCTCCCAATAGTTTAACTTATACGACATGCGACAAATCAATCATAGCCAAACACGGTTTTGATTTTGCCTTTTGGTAGCCTACCTTACACTGACTAGTAGTAATTGTTTCACAGGCGGAGTGAAATAACTCTAACATTGYGCAGCTTCCAAGGCTCTTGTGTATTGCTACTTTTATCATGTTTCACGGTACCAGTGCGTTGAATCTACTAAGACTTTACGGTTATTTGCTTAACATACAGTATTTGTATTAATAGCATTTCATTCATTTCTTTAGKTGTGATTGYGAAAAGCCTTTAGTAGCCTTAGCGCAGAAGTTAATAAGAATCGATGATAAATTTGTTAATTATTTTGAAAATGCTAAACATATTTATTAAGCTGGCACGATCCAATTCTATTGCGTCATGTTATTAAAATCAGAGGTAGTAGACCTRAATTCTGAAGGACGGGGGAGTCTTTGATTATTAACAGGGGGAGGGCGGGGTTGAATTCAAAAACCAGAATAGGTCTTGAAATAAAAATGCCAGACTGGGTTAACAATTTAACAATTTGAATTCAAGATCTCGTTGCACCACGTTTGATATTTTTTCTGGTTATTTAGGTTCCTGCCTAAAGTTCGGTTTCAATGAGTAAAGTGATGTTATCACACAAAGCCCAAACGATTATTTCGATAAGAAATGAAGTTAAGCTACTGATTCGTTTTATCCTTGCGGTCGGCCACTACCGTCGGAATGAAGCYTGTGATTCATCGAGACAACAAAAACAACAAATTGTGATTGGGAATTGTAGGATTATGTTAAACAATGCCTATTGTTGTACTGGACATCTTCGTTCTTTTTTGTATTAACTCTCTCTCTCTGTCATCACAATCTTTGTTCTAACAGTAGTCGCTGTACAGTAAATCCTTGTATGCTACGCTGCTTGTAATAACATTGTAGAAACTCAAGTGCCGAAAGAATCCACCCTGTGACCTTGGCAACCAGAAAACCTGCAAGCACTGACTTGAAACGGATATGTGTGAAAATCAATGTAATGACACAAGAATGACTTTTTTTGATTGGGTTGATTGCTATCACAAAGCTAGTGTTAATGTACATTGACAGGGACGAGTAATGGCTATTTAACAAAACAAGGCAAGTGTAAGCTAACTAAAGTCAATTTAATGATTTGTATTGACCTTTGAGATCTATTGTATTATTACATTTATTGTTACGCTTCAATTTGGAGAAGAAATAAAGCGTACAGTGTAGCAATATATATAACACACCATAAAATTAGGGCTTTCATCTAGTAAATAAGTCGTCAAAATTCAAATTTCGACAAGCAAAAAAATCTTTTCAAATATAACAACTTGGCTCGGATAATGTTTGTCTCATTCAGTACCATTTGGGAATATAATTCTTTGTTTTCCAACAACGCAACGCTTGAGAAGATGTGTTAATATGAATATTTATAAAACAAATAATTTGTCCTCCGAGTACTCTGAAAAGGGGAAAATATTTTCCAAGGCGATGAGATTGATTTAATCCCGCTTCAAACAATGACACTTTAAATTTAAAAAAAAAAAACTGCAAGTTAGCAATTGCTGGCATTGTATTGAAATTTTGCACAGAAGGCTATATGAATATAATAACACAGCGACAGTGAGTCTAAAAAGAATCTTAGAATATCAATTTTTTTAACTAYATTATATGTCTACCATCTTACATGGCTACARCATATCATTTTGCATTGCATGGYCTAAACTAGCACCTCTTTGATCCAAGATGGGGAATGGGGCAGGCGGGGCGCAGTTTTTGTTCTGAATTTCTTTAGTTGTGTGGCACTACTTCATAATATAACAATTTTAAAAATGATTTAGCGATCTAGAAAGTTGACTGTTAACATCATTAGCTTTTTATCAAATKGATACAAAATTATTTCTTGTTTCTTTTATCATGGCAATATCTTTGTTATCTTTTTCAAGTGCCACTGCTAGTCCTTTTATCAACTCCGACATGAATGATTAATAACCTACTGTATAGCGTGCTTTTAATTGCTCGCACGTCCGTTGCTTAAAGAGTCTGGATACTAGTCTGAACGGAAGAATAGTGTGAAGTAAAACGCATCAAGAAAAAAAAGGCAAAATTTGCGCCATGTCCTCACACGTATGATGAAATTTATATTTATATAAACTTATTAATTGTTTTAAAGGTCAAAAGCTGTTTAGTGTTCGACATGCGTGGTTTTCTCATAGTATTGGGTGCGATTGTCACTGGCGGTAAGTCAAAAGAAATATGGATTGACACCAATTTGTACAATAAACCATGATAGTAGTGGTAGCAGTTTTTCATTACCGCTTTTTTAAAAATAAAATAAAAAATAAAATAGTCATCCTCAGATGTAATCGATTTTTCTGTTTTCCCAAAATCGAAGTAGATTTACCGTAAAGCGCCGTTTACCCGAGCAATTTTTCCTTGACAAGGACAAATTGSCCGTGTAAATGGTCAACAAGTTTTCCTCGACAATTCTTCCTTGACAATGTTTCTTTGYTAGTGYAAACGAAGAACAAGTTTTCCTTGAAAAGGAAAAATTGCCCATTTTACCCCATTTATACGAGCAATTTTTCCTTGTCAAGGAAAAATTGCTCGTGTAAACGCCGCTTAAGTTTCATCAAAGAAAACATAAAAATATCTTTAGGAAGATTTTAGGGGCCATAAAAATAACTGGCATCAAACTTCGTTGCATAAAGTGGTTTTGCTATCTATCTATGATCTAGTCTTTTAAATGATCTTTTCTTAATCATCATAAAAAAGCTTATCTTACATAAATCGTATCGGTTCTTTTTTGCAGTTAACTCTCAGATGAATGACTTTGACGCTGATTGTTTGAGTTCCCATAAYGAATACAGGGCACAACATGGAAGCCCACCCCTGGTTTGGTCCCACGCCCTCGCTGCTGTAGCTCAGGAATGGGCCAATTCCTTGGCGAATAGAAACGTATTTGAACACGATTTGAATTATTTAGATCAAGCTAAACAAGGCGAAAACTTGGCTTTTACGTTGTTTAACACAACCAAATGTATGAACGCTGGACAGTTAAATTGTATCAAGTGTTCACGCATAATCAAAGACTGGTATAGTCAGATCAAGGACTATGATTTCATAAACGGTCGAAGCAGAGAGGGACCAACGAATATTTTTACGCAGGTATTGTTTGGCTTTCATTTTCCTGCAGCAGTAAGCCGCATTGAATCTCATGCAGATTAAAGGCTTGCTAAGCCTTACCTAATCCTAAGACGTAATTCTAATAAGATAGGATCCGATAGGCAATTTGCACGATGCCCTCAATTACTACAAWGACCAGAATGCTTTGCGTACTTTCTTTTGTCGTRTATTTAGTTCCAACAGAACGCCTTTCGTTATTTCTTTATTAATATTTCGATTTTTAATCACTCTGAAAATAATTAAAACAATAGCCGACTTGTAAATTTTGTCTCGGTTGTCAAGCACAAAGGAATCGAGACAAGACTCAGACAAGGGGCTATATACTAGGCTCAGTCATTCATGGAAAGACAATAGTTTTTCACGATTGACTGAGCTTTACGCACGGCTACTCGACTTGATTCTGTTGTGTATGGCTACTAGAGCGAAATTCGCGCAAATCGGCTATTGGTCTAATTATACTGATAAAAGATAGTGGACATCAAAGAATTCTGGTCTTGGTAGTCAGTGACGTTAAAATGCTAATCGCCTATTGATTGGTTTGTTAAAATAAAAGAAATAAAACAAATGACAAACAGGTAGCAATCAAGTAAACGTGCCATTGATCCTTAATCAACCCGACATGGACCAAGATGGACATTTTTTTTAATAACTTGTATTCAATATTTYATACTTAATTTTCTATTTCATGATTAGATCGTTTGGAAGTCGACGAGAGAGATTGGCGTAGGAGCAGCAAACAGYCAAAAGTATGGTCTTATTGTCGTGGCTCGGTACTTTCCACGTGGGAACGTTGGATGGCTAGACAACTATATTTACAATGTCCCTCTTCCAATTTACAATGGTATCACCCCCARCTATCCTCCTTACAACGTTCCCCCTCCAGTCCCAGCGCCTGTTACCATCGATAGAACACCAAAGATAACATAGGTCTATTGTTTGATCAGTATAAATTCCGGTGCTTTGCACTAGCGACAAGAGAATGTTATATTGGATAACGCGTTCAATGTGGGTTCATTTGAGCTGCGACTTTTCCAMAGACAACTATATCTCAATTCGACAACCTGMCGATAAATTACGCAGGTATACAATCAGTTGTGAAAAATGAAATAGTTTTTCTATAATAGAGGTAGATTGAGCTTCATGAGTCGCATCTTAGTTAGAGTCATTTTCATCCGTCTATGAAATAGGAATTGTGTACTATAAGCACTAGAGTCATTTGCTTCCGTCTGTGAAACAATTACTACTAGTCASTGTTTAATAGTAACTATTAGGGTGTAGTAGGCTACCAAAAGGSAAAATCAAAACCGTACGTGTTCGCCTAGTTACTTTGTCGCATGTAATAAGTAAAACTATTGGGAGCTAATAAAAGTATTAAATAGTAAAATTCCTATTTCACAGACGGATGAAAATGACTCTACTATTTGTATAGAGATTGTCATAGAATACACTCTAATCAATGAAGTATAAAATTCTAATAATAAACATTTTTTTTATTCTGAATATTTTGAATAAAATGTCAATTGACAAGTGTATATGTTTTTATGCTTTGGAATCTAACAACAAATACCAATAGTCTGGATTTCAAATGCGAGCAGAWTTTTCAAGACAAAAAGCCATACATGGATACTTTAACGCCTTATTAATTTCTATTATTGCCGGATCCTTAATTTACATAATAGTGAGAAAAGACTCATAAAAGACAACATTGTGATATAGAGATTGCCRAGGGATTTATTTAGGAAATTAAAGAGAATTGTGCCCTCTTTCTTTTCAAAGACACTGCAGAAAATGGTTAAAAGATCAGTATGTCTTAAGACATAATCAAAGAAAGCATTGGAATGAGCCATTCCTGAAAGCTGTGTGCAATTTCATTGAATTTTGCCTTTTCTCATGAATTCCGAGRAACAGGTCACGGTGACCTTAACAAGCGATCTCTAACAAGAAACCAACAATCATTAACCAGCAATTATGGGTATTCTTGATTTATTTATC